TTTTTCAATTGTCGAAATGAGGACCTTTTTTTTTTTGCTCTTCACTTTTTTTGGTCGAGAAATTCTTTCGATTTGCTAGGGATTTTCACCTCAAAAAGTGATTTCCAAAAAAAAAACGATTTTATCGTCATTTGCTAGAGAATTTGGAGTTGAAAAATTCTTTCGATTTGCTAGGGATTTTCACCAAAAAAGTGACTTCCAAAAAAAAAAAAAAACGATTTTTGTGTCATTTCGTACAAATTGTTGACATCGTCAGGGACCCCCCATGGATTTTTCCAGGAACTCCCTACAGAATTTTGCCATCACCCCCCCTAAAATTTTTTACGTCATCATCTATGACAATAAAGGCTCGTCTTCTTCTGATGCTTCGATCATGGCGCGTTGCAACTCTCGGAATACCGATAGATTCATCTTGCCCAACTTCGACACAATTTTTGTTGGCAGCAATGTTCTGGCGTCGGGTATGCACCGGCATCTCTTGAATCTGGCGGCTTTGTTCTGGTTTTGGAATCGCTTCATACATCTTGCTTCTGTTTGAGATGTTCTCCATTCGTCCACCGGCACTATGACACAATTTCGGCGCTTCTTTATTGACCTCAATCGCGCACGTGCTTTTTGATACTTATTGGGATGTCAGTTATTATTTCGCCATCAGCACCAAAAAAGAACACAGTCGGTTGCTTATCGGTAATCTTTTCCATCCAGTTGTCGACAACACTACTGCTGTTGATGTGTTTGTCCAAGGCGAGTCGAGTGTACTTGGCAGTCGAGTAAGCGCAGATTCCATGCTTCATCATCTTGACTCGATGCTTTATGTAGTTCAGCCACTGTGACCCTTTTGGCGATGGCATCACTGAACTCGCCGAATTTTCCGCATGTAGAAATACTGATTCCACCAATAATCATCGCCTGATTGAAATCCCTTTGTGAATTATTTGTTATGCTTGTTTTTCCGTTTTTATTCTCGATTTCTACTTTCGGCAGCAATTTTTGCGAAGACAACACCTGGTGCATGCTTGAACATTCGATTTTGAAGTGCTTTCGGCGAAAATCACACAACGGCACCACTGCTAAATTCCGTATGAATGGCCGAAACTTTTGATCGTCGAGCATTTGTTTGCGCTTGAGATACCGCTTGCGTGTCCTCTTTGACATTTTGACTTTTTGCGCTTTTCGTCCGTTTGGGTCGGTGCTGATGTGGCCACGTCGAATTGTACTCTTCTATCTCGCTTTGCATAGATAGGAACATTGGCATGGCCTTAAACCAATGCTATGCGTCAGTCGTGAGGTCATGCAGATCGATTTCTGTAAACACATTCAGGTCATTCACCATGTCATACAACACGCCACACTGTTCGAGTTTGTTTGAATCGTGAATTAGCACTTCGATGTCTTTTTGTTTGACAATCAGTTTCACAACACTTTCGATGTCACTTAGCAAACATTTCTCGTAGTCTTTCCGTTTCAAGTACTGGGTGATGTGTTAGGATGCGTTATTGAATTGGACGTTGTCTGTGTATTGATTAGCCAAATGCTTGGGCCATTGCTGACATCTTTGTTGTTGGGCCAATCGATACGATGGTAGTTCTCAATGCCTTTGTTCGTAAGCCTTTTGCACCTCGAACAAGAACAGCAATGAGCTCAAAACGCAAATTGAAGTCGCTTGCAAACGCAAATTGAAGTCCGTTATTTTGCTCATCAATGCTTGCTGGAATTGTGGGCGAATGATTGTCTTCAGCGCACATTTGATCGTCGTAATCTCATGCTTCGTTTCTCCCTTCGCTGGTATGGATGGCTTGAAACGATTCACCATTTTCCTATTGAAAAAAACCACACATTCGATTTAGTTTAAAAACGAATACTATTTAATTGGCGATACTTAGACATGTTCATTGATCCATATCGATATTTTTTACTAAATGATTTTTCATGGCTGACACACAAAAATATCGAGATTTTTTGGTAGAAATTTACGAATGAATAAATGTCCTGCACAAATATGCACACACATGTTTTAAATTCATTTTGTTTAACCCTCCTAGGTATGGTTCGAAATAAAAACAATATAGTATAGTTACGGTCTATTAGACCGTTCATACAAAATACAGGGAAACCAAACAAAAACCAAAACAAAATCACACATTTTTTCAAATTTTTGCATTTTTTTAAAAATAAAAACATTGAAAAAGGTTTGAAAGTTGGAAATTGAAAAGATTTCAAGAAAATAATTAATTTGAATCATCAGAATAATTTACATGAGAGCGTTTTTTTTCGCATTTTGCACATAAAACAGTGATTTTCGAATGTTCGCCGCATACATTTTTATTGCATTTGTCGCAACATGTTTTGGTGTTACGATTGATTGAACTTGGACATAAATGACATGCACGTCGTTGCCGTGGTGTAACTGGCGCTTCTTGTTCCTCTTGACCCATCAAATGCTCACGAACTTCTTTGAAAGCCGACTGATTAGATGCATTCATGCCGCGCGCTGTTCGCCGTACGATATGATCGTAAACTAAACCTTCATACAATTCAATCAAAAATGTCTTGCGTTGAAATGCATACTGTTCATGCGAGATATCGTGACTTGTGTTGTAAACAACAAATGCTGCAACACCACATACGTTGATGAGGTTCATGAAGAATGCAAATGGCCATCGATTGGTTCCACGTTGACATGAGTGTGAATGGCACTTTTGATCCTTAGTTTGATCCAAAACATCCACACCGCCTTTCGTGTTATTGTAGACTAAAGATCGATTTTTCTCTGACAGACATTTTGTTGAAATAATAATATGATGTACGCGATAAACAAGAATGATTCAAATTGATTTTACTTGAGAATTTCAACCTATCTTCTCGTTTTCCAATTTAATTTTTCATTTTTTTTAAACGGATATCATAAATTTTCACCAAATTGATTTGTGAAAATGCTTGATTATGTGTTTCCCATACATTTTGTACGGACGGTCTAAGAGACCGTAACTATACGATCAAGTTAGGATTTTCGTCTTTCTGGATTTTTATTTTTTACAGAACAGTTTCAGGATTTTAAATGTTAATTTCAATATTTATCCATTATTCTTGTAAAAAGGCGAAAATGTGATGACAATCGGTCGACGCTATTCAATTTTATGATACTTTTTTTGTTTTCGGTCTAATAGACCGTTACTATACTTAGGAGGGTTAAGCAACAACAGCACAAGAATCTATCTCTTTTTTTGGTATACACACAAAATGATGCGACACACAAAAATGACAAAAATCTTCGGATTGATAACAATGGCAGTGATTTAGAGAAGAAAACAATGTAACGCATATTATGGAACAATGGAACCAATTCAAAATGGGTATCACCACTTGAAATGAATTTCACCACCTCACGCAACAGAATTATGTACTGCAGAATAATTGTGAAATTCATTACTTTTTTCATAAAATGATATGTTCAACGTTAAATAATTATTCGACTACTTAAATATATTTCACGTTATAAATGATATATATTACGTGCTATGAAATAAAAATGAATTTCACAATAAGAAGAAGAGGAATAACTGCTTGGAATAAGCACGTATTTCAATTTTTGATTTGTCATTGAAAAATAATAGTTTTTATTGATGAATTAACCAATATTTTTCACGGTAATAAAATGATTAAGTTTACTCACACTGGTGACTTGTATTCAACAATTTGTCTGAACTCAGGATCAATCGATTGATCAAGTGTTGAAAAACTCGAATCAAATCGATACAAAACCCTCGTATATCGAAAATAATATGAATTATCAGCAAAATCGTAGAATAATTGAATCGTTGAATTGGAATTTACACTGTTGTAGTTTATATCGAAATCGAAATAAAATGTAAGATTGTTCTGTTGACTTGGGATTTACAACGCCAAAAGTGTTCTCGGTATGAATGAAGCGGCGTTTATGACATTTCGAAAACCAATGAAATCAACTTCAAATGTCATAAGGCTTGGTTCACATCAATAATACCAATTCAATATTTAGATATTAGACAATTTTTGCTTTAAAGAGTTTCTTGATTTGAGAAGTTTCAATATCAATCGATGCTTTACATTAATGCTACGATTTGGAACAGAATTTGGTGCTCTTTAAATTGAAACATACCATTTTTTTTATTTACAGATATGAAAAACACCCTATTGTACATAAAAGATACTAACGAGCCATCATCCATTTCGCTGAGTTCATATCCAACTTCACGATATTCTCAATTATCTTGATTAAACTATGGGAACAATATTTTATTTACTAAACGTCATCGATAAATGTTTTTCTTATTTATTTTTTCTTGTGAAGTTTAAAATTGGAATATTTTTATTTCATCTTAATATCGATAAATTTGATGCAATAAAATTTAAACAAAATTACCTTAAGGTGCTAATGTTTGCTCAAGAATCATGTGAAAATAAAATTTTGAAAAGTTTTTTTTTACAATCAGTGTTAATTTATTATTATTTTACAAAAAAATGTGTTAGATCAATTTTCTATGATTATTATTATTATAAATATTAATAATAGTATAAACAATTTCATATTTGGATGCAATATTATCAATAAATATATTACAGTATTAATCATATGAATTATTTTTTTTAGATTCTGAACGAGATACAGCTTTGAATTAACTTGAATTTTTAATTTATATAAATGATTGTCTTACACACCAATTATGTATATTGAATGATGGCAGCACCAAAACCAATCTACGCAACGGGTGTGACTGTATTTGGTTTTACTTGTTTGGTATTGGGATGTATAGCTTTATTTTTACCTGTTTGGGGTCACTTCGAAGATAGGAATGGAGCTTATCAGTCTGAACGTGGTTATTTTGGACCATGGAAAGTTTGCAAAAAATTAAATTACGGTCGCGAAATTTGTGGTGACAGATTTCGTTTTCAAGTATCAGGTATAAAAAGTTAAAATTCTTACTGGATTAGAGTTCAATAAATATGTAATCAATCAAATAGGTGCTGTATACGTTAGTGGCATACTTTCCATGATAAGTTGTGGAAGTCTAGCAATTTTTTCAATTTTGTCAATAATTCAGTTGGCGATGATTAATTCAAGGGATGAAGTCGTCCTGAAATACAAAACGTGTGTAATATTAAAATTGACACTAGCCATAATCTCTGGTAATACAATTTTAAAGCGATCTGATCATGTTTAATTATATTAAAAATCATTATAATTGAATGTTCTCACTAAACAGCGTTATTGGCATTGTCTGCAGCAATTTTATTCGCAATCGAAATAGATAATATAAACCGTAGTTTCATTGTAACCAGAGGAATTTCATTTTATTTACAAGTAAGAATGTTCAGAATAGAAATGTGCAAGTTTTGAACTCTACATAATTCACAATTTTTCAGATATTATTGGTAATATTAACAATAGGATTAGTTGTAGTTGCCTTATATGATGTTATATTTACGTTACGCGTGTCTGGTGATCCGACAAGTGGTGAGGTCACGTCGTCATCAGCCACAACTATCAACAATCCTGGTTACCGTGAAACCCGATCGGGTAAGAATAGTGATATTATTATAATCGTGAGATAATTTATGGTACCTGGTTTTTCAGGAATATCGGTAACGGATGCGTCTGGAAAACCTTATGCATCAAGTACAAATGGACATGGTAGCGTTTTATCTATGAACACTACTGTAACAAGTGTATCGAATGGATCCACACTTGATGGCTCTGTCACCAGATCTCCTTTAAGGTCAAGTTTAAAAAAACCGCGTAATCGTGATGCTCTGGGCATACAAAATCCAGGATTTTCTGGAGCAAATCATTCTCCACGAATGAATCGAACAGGTAATATAGAAATCACTAAAAAAAATACTCAAATATAATTTAAAAGCTATAATATCTAATTCACACTATCTCTTGCACCACATATTTGTTAATTGTTGATTATTTTCGTTATTTACATCTTCAGGTAGTGTGAAAAAAGTACGAATCCAAACGCATAGCACAGAAGTTTAACTAACTAAGAGGATGAACGGAAATACATATAGTAGGCATTTTGAATTTCAATAATTTCAAAATATGAAATCTTTAGTGAAAAGGAAATGTTAAGATAATATTTTACCGATAATCAAAAACACTTGATTTCGAAAAGAATTTTGAAATTTTTGTTCCAAATTGAATTCCACATTTGTGTATTTTTTAAAATATCAAATTCCTGATAGCATATAAAAATTAAATTGGGAAAATATTTTGGAAGTAATAATTATAACCTTAGTAATAAATTTGAAATACTATATGACAGTTTTTAGGTGAACATTTTTCAATGAATTTGATCGAAAAATCATTTCAAGATTTATTGGATTGCATTTTAATCCAACCAACTAAAAAATATACATACTACTGTAAACATGTTTTATGAAATAATTTTCAAAAAGTTTTCTGTAAAAGAAAAGTCTATTTCAATCAGATAGCTTATTTAAAATTAATAATATTCGCAACCCGTGCCTCAAACGCATTGAAGATTTTCAATCGACACCGATCGACACCCATATGGAACAGAAAAAAAATCGTCAAAATTATATCATAAAAAATAACATTCTGAAAGATTCACGGAATTTCAATGCAAATTTGAGGTAACTCCCATACAAAAATTTCATTTTTGAGCCAAAAATCAAAATTTTTGTATGGGGAGTACTTCAATTTTCAATTGGACTTTCTTCAAACTTACTGAGATCATGTCTTTTGGTAAGAAAATAAGATTCACAAGTTTTCACGGTGATTAAGTTCCTGTAAGCATACATTTTGGGAAGAATTCCAAACAATTTCGAATCAAGAAAATCTAGAGGGTAGACACATGTTTAAAATGTAAAATCCACTTAGTTTTGAAGAATATACTTCATTATTTGAATACATTTTGATTCGGTGAATCTTCAAGCTAAAACCACGATTTCCGTGATTACGTGATTCCAAGATGGCGGCATACACACGTATTGAACTACACAAAATCTAAGAAATTCCGCACAAAAGAAAATAAAAAATCCCTGCAAAATGTGGTCTATAGGCAGTTTTCCATGTTGCTGTCTTATATGGAACCGCAAGTTGAAAATTAATTCATATCTTGAATCTTAAATCTTGAATCTGGGAACTATAAGGAATGTTTTCCTAAGTGGCCACCAAATTGTGCCAAAAATGTTCCACCCAACTATATATTCATCAAGCTATTTCTGATAAATGTAACCATTTATAAACATTTTCAGTATTATTAATACCGTATGGATGCTCTAGAATAAAAAGAACATATTTTTTGCTCGAATATCCAAATACAATTCATAACGGATGCTTATCAAAGCAAAACAAAAAAGAAATTAGTAGGCGAATACGGAACATTTCATTTTTGTATTTTTTTTTTAACTATGGATATTCCGCATTGTTCTGAAAAATGTTTATTGTTCTGCTATTTTCTAGCAACAACATTTTGTTTCACTTTAATGTGTTTGCGTCACGCAAATCAACGGTGATATTAGTTTGTGCTTTATACCGAATCACAGAGAGTTTTATTCTGAAACATACTAGTAATCGGCTGTTACCAGAGTTATTTGGATCGGCTGCTGATTGAAATCTATAAATGCATTTTTTAAAAACATGTTTTTCAAATTTGATGTATAGTAATTGCAATGTGTCCATAATAAATAGATATATCAATAAATCGTGTGGTACACTAAATAGTGAAGATTTTTTAGCACCGTATCACATGATCGAAGTGAGTGATTTGTGGATACATTGGATAATTGCGTGCAATCAACTTTAATTTCGAACTCATTGAAATAATTTCATAAATAAATAATAACTGTTTGGTTTACTTTCGAGAATTCGATAAGTTTTTTGAGTGTATTTCATATAAGTAGTTAGTTATACACCTTAAAGTAAAGTAAGATCGCATCATTATCTGGATTTTTCGTTTTTTTGGATAAATTCAAATGTTTCAATCAAAGTACAACGATAATTACAGCTGGGCAGGGCAGCAACTTCCCTATGGTCGTCTGTGTTAATGTTAAGTAACCCAAATGTGTGCCATTTTTGGTTTGGCTGTCAGCCGCTCCAATGGTACTGCTATCAAAGTTGTTTGCCATCGTTGTGCTTTGATTTCAAGACATAAGAATATAATTTTCACCAAAATGTACCTTATTTTGACCATGAAATCATATTTATCGACTTACAACGGTGTTAAAGTAATATTCAAAACGTTGTAAAAATATGATTTTCGGATTTCAAATTCAACATTTTCTTTTGAACAAAATTTTAGTTCTTCAAAACTTCCAAATATGGACTTTAAATTTAGCTTTTCTAATATTCAAATATTTTTCTTTATTTTGATGATAAATTTTGCGATTGTTAAATGCTATGTATTTATTTAGTATAAAATGTGTATTGGGTTCAAAATCTAACTTAATGAAAAAAATCCACCAGGAATATGGTGGTCTTCCATATTTATTGTTCGTCACGAATCAAATATTTTCATTTTTGATAATAGTGTGTTTATTTATTTTAAAATTATCATATTGCATTTTTAATATGATGTAAAACATAACGAATCCGTCCAATTTAACATCTAATCAAAATTTATTAGATTTTTATTAAGAAGTATTTCCTACATAGTTTGTTAATAATTGCAAAATTGTAAATTGTTAAACAAGGTTTTATAAATAAAAACAAATGCATTTTTTTCAAAACCGTTGTCATCGTCGTGTTTCCATGACCCTAATACAAAGGTTAGCTTAAGGGGGGGTTTTATTTTTTTTCGTCAAAAGCCCCAGCAAAATGAAAGAATTTTTTTCATAAAAAACCTTAGCAAATCGAAAGAAAATTATATCCAGAAGGCTATTCTATCAGGTGTGAACCTCCATTTTTGAGAAAATTGAGGAGCAAAAATGTTTTCAGTCTTCAAATAATGACTCAAAACTTTATACCATCCCCCTGTCACATTCAGCCCAATGAAAGCTATTAAAATAAATGCGAGTGGAGTTGGTCATACAAAACTGGAACAAAAAACTATTTTTAATTCATAGTTGTTCTGTGACTTTGAAGCGAGCCGAAATCGAGCCGAAATTTTTAAAAATAAAGTCGAAGAAAATATATGGATACTATCATACTAATAGATGGTTAAATAAAAATATTAGACTCAGTGTATACTAGAGTGGTAAAAAAAAAGTGTTCGGTATCGAGATGCCCCATCCAGATTTGGATAATAGGATACAAAAAAACATGTTTGGGACCATTTTTCGTTAAAAAATTTCATCGGGAGCACCCGCCCAAATTTTTTGAAATTTTTTCTCGATTAACGAATTTGAAAAAAAAAAATATTTTTACTGCTGTAAAAAATACGTAGTTGGTTTGTTTTTTGGTACCATAAAACCGAATATGACGTTAGTTTTGCGATACGATCAATGTTTGATACATTTTTCGAACAAAAATCTGAAAAAATCACCAAAAATGTGGATTTTGTATGGGAGCCATACTTTTATGGTATCGTTATGTCGTGAAACTTTGCATAGGCTATTTTTTCCACATAAAAATAACATTCTGAAAGTTTGAAGAAATTTCAATCACACATGTGCACGGTTTTTTGATCAGGGGGGGGGTTCAAATTCACTTCCCTCCCCACGCGGCGGGGGGTATTTATATGGAAAACTAAAATAACAATTTTGCATGAGGAAAACAAGTAAAATTGTGTGTTGGTGAGCGAAGCGAGCCGAAATTTTGCAAGTTTTACTTTAAAATCAGTGTATTTTGGCTATTGTTTATACATTTATATTGCAAATCTGAGAAAAAAATTCTCAGAGGGGGGTCAAACCGGTAAATCTCCTAAAAATTTACCCGGGGGTAAATTTTGAAAAATTTGCCTCAGGTGGAGGTCAAACCGGAAACCCCCCCAGCGCGCATGTGTGATTTCAATACAAATTGAGGGTACCTCTCATGCAAAATTTTCGTTTTTGAGCCAAAATATATTTTGGGAAAAAATCTAATAAAATTCGAATCAACAAAATCCAATAAATCAATATAAGGGGTGAATATCCCATTGTGAAGTCACAATGAAATGGGGTATTTTCACTTTTCGACCCGAATTAAAGGTTAAAGTTAGAAGGAGTAAATTTTAGGTCAAGAGAGATTGACAATGTATGGAGCCTATGGGTAATTTTTCACGAGGAATCCGAATATGTAATTAATTTTGGGGTTATATGGGGTATGGACCCAATTTCGGGGTATTTTTCGAAATTTTTGTGAATTTTGTATGGGGAGCCAAAAATTGAAAATTGTGTATAGGAGGTACCCCTGATTTGAATGTTATTTTTTGTGTAAAAAATAGTCTGTGTAAAGTTTCACGTCATTAAGGTAGCATACAGGCATAGCTCCCATACAAAAATTCAATTTTTTTGTGATTTTTTCAAGGAAACTGTATCAAAAATTGATTGTATCTCAAAACTAACCTTGGATTCGATTTTTTCGTGCCAAAAAACCCCCCAATACATTTTTGAGAGTGTTTAAGTCTACATTAAGTATGAATTTTGGACGAAAATTGGACTCTTTTTTTATAGGTATCACTCCAGGCATGAAATTTTTTCCCTAACCAAAGTCGCTCAAAATCTAATGATTTCTATTCTTCGCGACACCCAATCATCCTGTTAAGTCAGGTTTTGAATTAAGTTTCTACGATGAGCGAAATCTTGTTAACAAATTCAAATGTTGACATTTTTGAGAGTCACAAATTTGTCACTAAAAGATGGCACCATTTATTTGGATCTACGTATTCGATTTGAAAAATTTCATTATTTTCGACTTTTAGTGTGAAAATCGAAAAATTGACATTTCTGTCACACGCGTTGTGTCACAAATTCAAATGTTGACATTTTTGGGAGTCACAAATTTGTCACTAAAAGATGACACCATTTATTTGGATCTACGTATTCGATTTGAAAAATTTCATTTTTTTTTCGACTTTTAGTATGAAAATCGAAAAATTGACATTTCTGTCCCAAGGAGCGTGTCACAAATTCAAATGTTGACATTTTTGGGAGTCACAAATTGGTCACTAAAATTATGTCGAAGAATTTTTATAATTTTGCCCATTTTTATGAAAAGCCTTTTCAAATTTTCGAATAAAATCATTTTTGTGCATTTTTCAATTTTTTGTTCATAATATGTCCACCAGATGTCGTATCAAAAATTATTCAAAATTTCACTAAGAGACTTTTTGGCCAATAGGCCTAAATAGAAAAATGGCCAAAATTGGCCGAAGGTCTATTCCATGGGCCGAAATATTGGTGTCACAAATTATCACAAATTAGTCACTAAATCCCTAAAAAGGTTTCAAGGCAATCGCAAAAATTTGCCAGGCTGGATAGGGGGGGCCTAACAAAAACCGTGTTCTCGGACCTCAATAATAGGTAGAAAACATGTTTCTGAAGTTTTCATATATATCATCGGTCATCGTTTAAAAAAACGACGCAAAATATTCGAATACTTTCTGCTGAAGAATATTGTAGCCCTTGATAAGACAAAATAAAATGTCTTACATACGTAAGATGAACTTTTCCGCACTGTGATCCACAACATGCATTTATTAGATGTCTTTTTCTTGATTTGAACTCACGAAAAACTGAATCTGACATTAGTTTTGCGATACACATAATTTTTGACACACTTTTTATACAAAAATTACTTAAAATGGGAATTTTAGGATGGAATCAATGCTTGTATGATATCGTAACGACGTGAAACTTGGCACAGGGTATTTTTTCACATTTTCGTGAAACTTGGCACAGGGTTTAAGAATACATTAAATACGACTTTTGGAAGAAAAATTGAATTTTTCCCATGGATGGCCATGGGCATCACACCAGACATGACACTTCACTATATCAACCAAAGTCGCTCAAAATCTAATGGTTTCTATTCCTCGGCACCCCCAATCATCCTGTGAAGTCAGATTTTGAATTACTTCACTTAATTGAAAGTTATCGTGTTAACAAATTTTTGCGTACAGCGTACAGGGTACCACGCACATACATTCGGACATCGAAAAAACGCTAGATTCGTGTTCCCTGGCCCCAAAAACACCCAGAAAACACATTTTTGATGGGTGTTAATTTTTCGACCGATTCCAATACTTTACCTTACACACTAGGTGTGTGCGGAAAAGTAAAATATCATCAAAGGAAAGGTCAATGCCCTCTCCTTGGGTAATGACCCCAGAAATAACCCATCAAGGCCAATTTGAGGTCAAAAACCTTTCAAATCCTAAAATTGACCCATTTTTGGATTCCCCGAGAAAAATTACGCTTAGAACACCTTACCTCCTGAATCCCAGAGCACCCCTTGTACCTTAAAAATCGGGTTGAAAAGTCGAAAAATAGGATTTTTCACATTTGCACCAGATTTCAGGGTACAATGAGGATGTTTACTGGTAAGTTAGTAGTTCACATTAAGCCTTACGGCAAAAAACTGGCAGTGTACTTCAAGAGCATAAGCCATATGCATTAATTAGAATCATTTATACCAGTCATTCAAAATATGACGAGCTGAAAAAATGCCTTGATATCCAATAAATTTTTATTCTAATGATACAAAAATATGCAGGTCGGGCCAGAATAACTAAAGGCTTTATTTTTGGCTCTAAAAAACACATTTTTGGATAAAATGGAATATTTTAAAATTTTAAAATATATTTTGGTAGGATTTAACATAAAATTTTAGATTTAGCCTTTGGATTTGATTCTTGCACTGTTTTGTTTGATTACCAGCCTCAGACGTGTTGAAAACGAGTCGCATGCGGCACGAATTTCATTCATTGGAATTTCGTTCCAAATCTTTACGATTTTCTTTTTGAATGTGTTCAAATTGGTAACTTTAGTAATCTTTAGACTATTGAGCTTTGATGTCATGTAGCCCCAAGCAAAAAATCCAATGGGTTTAAGTCGTGAGACGATAGCGGCAATGACTCTTTGTCAATGAAATGGGCCAAATTTGTTCGTAACAGATTTTTGCTCAATATTTCTTGTTTATAAAATCTAGCGTTGATTTTTACGTCTTTTTCGATGAAAACCAGAGGAAATTTTCGATTGGCCGAAAATGCGACTCAAATCATCATTTTTGGAACATTCTGCAAACGTTTAACGAACTTTTCGTATTGGAATGTCTATTGCAGACACTGCGTACACACGATCATTTTGTGCATTTAGACATGACTATAGCAAGAACAACCTTTCATCCGAAAAAGCGATATTTGAATTGCCTTTAAGTTGCGTGCCGGCGCAACGTTCTTTGCATTTTTGTTTTCTGGCTTGCATATTTTTGATCGTAAGATCATGTCGACGGCTTTTTTCGAAAGGTGTCATGATTAAGTTTTCTTTTAAAACACGTCGCATCGAAGACCGGCTAATATTGTGCTTTTGAGCCAGCTTTCTGGCACTTCTTTGGCGATTTCGGCGAATTTTGGCTTATTTGATGAGTGCTTTGGTACGAACGGATCTTTTTCTTCCAGTTTTCTTGTGTAAGTCGACATCGGTTTTCTTTTGAAAGTCGACAAACATACTGGTGCAAGACCGGGTGAATCAAAAGTCATTGTACAGTCGTAAGAATGTTAAGTAAAAACCTTTCAGTTATTCTGGCCCACCCTGTGTATTTATATAAAATATAACAGAAAAAGTCCATAATTTTGACACTGGTGATAAAATTCAGTCATGATTCCAGGGAGGCGAAACCGTGGCGAGCTGTCAAATCACAAAATGTCATTAGTTGTCCCTATCGAAATCTGCTGTCAAGCAAGTTATATATTGATTATCGTATTACATTTTGTACGGTATTTATTTATTTATTTAGAAATATAAAAAAAGAATGTGAATGTGAACAAAAAAGATAAAAAAATTAATATCTTGACAAATTATGTAATAAAATAAATCTTATAATTCAATTACTCAGCGGCTAGTGTGATTTCACACGCCTATACCGCTGCAAAGCGGTACCAATACACGACACGCTTTAGATAACATTTCTTTTTTTACACCTAACGACGGCTCTTTATTTTTGTTTTTATTTTATTTTATTTATTTTCACTTATTTTTAGATTTTAGAATTGTTCTGAATTTTTTAATTAAATTTAAAAAAAAAATATTAATAGGGATTGTATGTTAGTTTCATTCAATGAAGAAAATAAAGAAGTGATAAAAAGTTTCGATTTTCTTTTAATTATTCAATTATTTTTGAATATTTTTCATTTATTAAATAATAAAAATTAATAAAAAAATCATGAAAATAATAATAAAATAAAATTGAAAAATTGTTTCCCTATGTATTTGTTCCGCTATAAATACATATCATTTACCATCTTTTGCCGCTGCAAAGTGTATAACCATATGAAATATACGTGTATCGTGCAATGAACACATAAGTTGGAATATAAGTTGAATATTTTTCAAATTCAAATGATTTTCACAAATTCAAATGATGACATTTTTGAGAGTCACAAATTGGTCACTAAAATATGACACCATTTATTTTGATCTAAGTATTCGCTTTGAAAAATTTCATTGATCTTCGACTTTTAGTATGAAAATCGGAAAATTGACATTTCTGTCCCAAGGAGTAAGTCACAAACTCAAATGATGACATTTTTGAGAATCACAAATTGGTCACTAAATCTGTGTCGAAGAATTTTTATGATTACGGTTGTTTTTATGGAAAGCCTTTTCGAAATTTCGATAATAATTCTTTTCTTAGCGCAAAAAGTAAAAATTGTTTTTGTACTGACTCTATTTTTTTGCACATATTGTCGTAGTGTGGATTCCATATTTCTGATCCATATTCTATAATTGGTAATACAAATGTAAAATAAAGGCGTTTAATTGTCCATGGGTCAATAAAATCCTTGCTGTAGAACTTTAGCCAAGCCAATCTTGATTTTGCTTTAGCCGTGACATGCTCAATTTGTGATTTGAAATTCATTTGCACATCAAGCAACACTCCCAAGTCCCTTATTACAAAGACTCTTTCTATTTGAACGCCGCCTATGTTGTAATTGTATTCATATTGCAGTGATCCCCGATGATATGATATGATCTTTGTTTTGTTTACATTTAACTTCAATAAATTGCGTCCATAATAATCTGCTACACGATCCAAGTCATTCTGTAGATTAATGCAATCATCTGTTGAGGAGATACATTTTGAAATTTTTGTATCATCAGCGAATGAAAGTATACAAGAATCGCTAACGACGAATGGTAGATCAATAACAAACATGATGAACAAAGTAGCGCCAATTGGATATCCTTGACCCGTCCCAGATGTAACTTTGATTGGGTCAGATTTGGTATCTGCTATCTTTACAATTTGTCTGCGACCAGACAAGTAAGATTCGATCCATTTTAACAGCTGTTCATTCAGTCCCATCATTTTATTAGATATTTCGCCACGATATAATTTTTTTTTATCTTTTTTCTTCACATTCACATTGCTTTTTTATATTTATAAATCTATAAATCTCGTACAAAATTTAATACAAAAACTCTCAAGTGTAGTTTTGTTAATAGAGATTGGAATGTTTTCCATGTGGCCCACCTGTCAAAGCGTTGTCGTCGACTTGTCCGACGGGTTTGGTCCTCGTGCATGATTCAGATTTTTTACATCGGCAGAATTCACATTCGCTTGAATGGCCTTTTTTCAAGTCTCAAGGAATGAACAATTTTGGCGCACGATGAGATCAAAGAGAGCTCGGAACGCCTCTGTATTATTCCCAACCCAATTTAAGTTTACCTGGATTTGACTCCATTTTATACAGATGTGTTGAAAGATCTGGTATGTAAAAACGTATTGTTTGCTGAAAATTGTAAATTCATTTTAAATAATTTAAACTCGCAAGCTATGGATACTACAACTTGACATTTTTTTCATTATTTCTGTAAAATTATTACAATATTGTGTAAATCAAAGTAATATTGAAGTTCTGTTTTACAGTTTGCAAATGATGATATTATCTTTTCATAAATTTACTCTTACTTTTTTTAAAAAAAAAAAGTTAGTTAATACATTTTTTTTTTCATTTGCGTTTTTTTTTTAAATTAAAATTGAAGGAAATATTGAATTAAAAAAAAAGTAATAAATTGTTAATAATGAAATATTTTGTCTTTCGTATGCTTTGAATGTACTTAAAATATATTATAGGTTATCCACTTTTTAGGAAATTACAATGATCGTGAAGTTTGAATTATGTTTTTTCTTTGTATACATTCATAAGAATTCCATATCAAGAGCTGTATAAAGTGCCCGAATGTCACTGTGGCTCGATATTCTCCAAAAGGGAAATGTCATATTTTTTGCCGCCTTTTCTTCTTCAGGGCCATCACCAATCACAACATATGTACTTTTGCGACCAAATCTGGTTGTGATACGTTCAAAACAAGATTCATGACCTGAAAAAAGCATATATCAAAAGCAATTTATCGAAGTGGAAGACATTTTTTTAAACATGGGCAAAAATTAAGCTATAAAAATTGTTGTTTACCTATTTTATTTGTGCTATAGATGTTTTCTACAGGGAATATTTGAGCTAAACCAAACAAAAGTATTTTGGCTAATGCAGCAACTAGCTGATTATTTGTTACCAAAATGTTTACGCAGTTTGGTCTTTGCGCGATTATTGTTAAACATTTGAGGGTCATCGTTAGCCAACTGTCAGTAGACACTTCAATGTCAGACCGAACTTGCAGCCATTTATTCCGTTCTTCCTGACTTAGCATGCCGCCAACACTTAATATCAAAAAGGCTTCTTTAAAAATGTGTTTAAAAAAAATTAAGTTCACAAACTTACTTGTTTTTGTAAGTGTTATATATATCCTTTATTTTTCTGTAACGAAATGCCAATTTTCGCATCCAGTCTACTCCACCGCGAACTCCTGTGGCTATGCAAAGATTAGCTGGAACACCAGGAGCTGTATTAGCCTGAAAACCGTCAGTGCGAAAATCATAAGTTGTCAACTCTTGCCCATTGTCATCCGAAGAAACATCATCGATGTGCACTTGGTCGCAACTCTCGATGTCGTTGAAAAAGAAATGATGATCAGCCATATTGAAAATCAGTTCTTCCATGGAAGTAGCCAAGTAACTCATTCGAATTGGGTCTTTTGAATAACGATTAGCAAACGATCCAGTAATCAAAGAATGGAATATTATAATTGTTTCATCCAAATCCCAAATGAAAACTCGATCAGGTCCTTTACAGTTTTCGGAAGGTTGACCATTTTCAGATGTAATGCTGCGTGTTGGACTCGGATTTGCATGTCGTCGCCCGCGAGCTCTTTTTGGAATTGACGTGGGTTTATTTGAAATATTTGCGGATGCATTGGGAGACGCAGAGATTGATGAATGAGGAGAATGACCATGTTGTACTATCATTGATGTTGTAGCATTGACTTCTGTGGGACTCTCAGCTAATCCAGTTGAAGAATGAAAATTTTGTGTACCAGGTGAGCTTGAATACGACGGATAATTAGATGTATTGTAGTATCCGTTAACAGCATATTGCTCATTGTAATAAGCAGAATAATCTTGTTGTGATCCACCGAATTGACTGAAGTTATTATAACCATAACTCGAATACAATTGTGTTGTACTGCTGTTACCTACAGCAGATGTAGAGTTGCCATAACTGGATGGCAAATAAGAATTTGTTGAAGATATTTTCGATGAACGAGCTGGATAGGCTGCAGTTGGATAAGATGGATAAAATGATGATGTATATTGTTGCATACCTAAGGCGAAGAATCATAAAAAATACGAAAAGACCGTATTTGTAAAACATTCACTTAAAAAGTAAAAGGACAACATAAAAAAATTAAAACTTTTGTGACTTCTTTATATAATTTTTTTTTCATTCGAATGTTGTTTCATTTATTCCACTATCAACCCAGCTTGTGCAAATAATAATTGAATAAATACATTTAGATAGAAAAATAATATTGAAAATTGAATTGGAAAAGAAGCCATAAGAAAACCATAGATTTATTGGCTAAAACGATAAAAAATAAAATTCACAAATTTTGGCGCTGCATTCTATGCAAACTTGTTTTCTGTTGCAACGGACTAAGTGGAAAGTATACGCTTATTACATAGAATGTAGCGCTAACTATATGTGAATTTTATTTTTTTATCATTTTAGGCAGTAATTTTATCGCTTCTTTAATTGTGTAATATACCGTTGTAGTAGCTGTTGTAATAATCCGGTTTCTGATCGAATGTAGAAGCGGTCTGAAGATTTTCTAGGGATGAATTTGTGCAAAACAAGGATGCTGTATCCAAATGTGTGCTATTCGCTAGACCTGACGCCATTAGTGTATATATTCCACTTGTGTTGCAATCCAAAGAAGGGCTTCTTGATTCCGATTTCACTGCGGTTGTCGTTGGTTCGTTTAACCAGTGTGTCATCTGAATGACTTGACACAATCAATTATTGACTTTAATCTATTTTCTTTTGATATTTATGTTAGAATGAGTTTTTACTTTATCTGTTTCAAAATAAATGAAATAAATTAGAATATTTTTATATCATTATATTTAGTTGAATTCAATAAACATGGGTATAAAAAAAGTTGTATTTTCCACCAAAGCAATTTGGAATATTTTTGCAATATTAAAAAATTGATCAAAGTTCGTTTCAATATATCATTCAAGTGCTATCAAGTACAAAAGAAAAAATATCATGATCTAAATCTAGTATAGTCACTAAAAGAAGACATTTCTTATTCATTCCCAGAATTCCCTAGTTGTGTAAGCATAATACATATGAAGCAAGCATTGCTTCGCTTGTTAAATGATCCTACATATTCACATTCTTTCTTTTTTGTCTTCTTCTTTTATTTGCTTTTTTCCTTTGTTGTTCCATATAGTTTGTAACTTGAAACTTTCTGTTTTCTTCGTTGAACAAGGATTATGGACAATGTGAAAATTTCTCACAAAAACACATTATCGACAGAAAATAATTGCGGATACAAAAACACACATCTTCAGATTTAAACAACATATATTTTAAAGAGAAAAAATATAACAGCAGAGTAGACAGATATGCAGCAGAGCATTCAGTAATGAAAATTGTACAAATCAAGAGAAATGAAAATTCAGAAAGGATTGAAATTGTGAACATAAAAGAAATGATGAATAATGAAAATTGAACTATGAAAAAAATCTTAAAGTCCTCTGTACTTGATTCAAAAAATTTAAAATACGTTTCAATTTAGAGATATTTGACATTTATTTTTGTAATGTTACACTTTATTTATTTCAACCAATAAAATATATTATTTATTTTCGAAATGCACATCTGAGAATTTATTTCAATTGTATTATATGTTGAAATGAATAAAGTATAACATTATCAAAAAATGTCATTCACTTTAATTACATTTTCTTTTTTTTTTTTTTTTTGAAAATGACAAGTATATGATGTTTTACGTATTATTTCTTTTCAAAATTCTTATGGCCTGATTTAGGTATAGCAATCGTCTTATTTCTAAAAAAATCTATGGTGAACAATAGATACTCATGTTACCATTTAGATTCAAATGTTTGTAACAAATAGTCGAAATGATGCATTTTCTTGTATATTCATAGAATCCATTTGGTTAACACATGTCATTATGTTTTTACTACCTAAAATTTGGTAATGTACCTATTATTTCCAATCCATTTTTGGGACGGAACATGTGTTTCAATGAAAATGAAAATGTGTGCGTCTAAGTAGCCCATTAAAATTTCTTTTGGTACGAAGATTGAATTTCTACATTGCAAAATGTCAAACAATTTTGTTTATTTAAAGTAATTTTAAGGCATCCATATAAAGGGTGTTGTGAATTTCAAATTTTAATAAAACATATACCATTTTCTAATGCTCTAATAGACTCAACAAATGTGTTTTCAAAAAATCTATCGTTTATGTCGTTTAATGGCCATTGGCCAATCACGCTTCCATACTGAAACCAACATAATTCCCGAATTTAAAATACAGATTATGAACAGTGATATATAGAACTTCACTATAAAATTCACTAGAGACCGCAATATCAACAGAACGTTCAATTTTGAATTTAATATTGGCCAAAGAAAAGAAGACCAGAAGATACAAACTTGGCTATTAAAACGTTACTTGTCGCTCACATTTCTATGTATGTAACACTCCGTGATCTCCCGGGAGGCCTTGACTCATGGGATCAGTAACGAGATTCTAGTGCAACGTCATTTTTCGCACTAGATTTACTAGTTTTTCTAGTATTCACTAGCGTGATTCGCCCCATGCCTTGACTACTTCTTTGCGTAACAATGTTAGTTTTTAAATCTATTTGACAAATTTATCGTGCAATCTAAACCCTCTAATGCATTAAATTTTTCGATTTTGGTTTATAATTCTTTTAAATCTATTGAATATATCGAGAAGAGAGTATGTTATTCAGCGCTTATGGCTGAGTAATGTCTGAATAAAAACATACTCTCCTCTCGATATTTTCAATAGAAATAATAATCAAAATTCAAAAAATTGCATAGTTTACTCAAAAAGGCTATTGACAAAATTGGAAAACAATCGAAACAATTGTTTAAACTGCTACAAAATTGCTATAAACAAAGAGATATATAATTTATTTTTGTTAAATTTCTGTTTTCGCGTATATCTCCGCTATATTTTCGCGTTTATATTGAAACAACCGCTTTATTTCACTTGTCAAATGACCGGCAAATGAAAGCCCTGCTGAATGTATTTAAATTTATAAATAGAATCATTTGTTTTTAATTATATATTTTAGACAATAATTTATACATCCTGCAAATTTTACTAAAGGCAGAACTATGCACTAGAGGGTTAAGGAAGAGATATCATCGAAATTTCACAGCTATATGGTGTATTTGGAAATAAAAAGGAAGCTACATAAGTAAGTCTAACTTTTCCGCGCTGTTTTCAAAATATTTATTTCCCAAAAGATATTGAACATGCACTGGTAATGCAGTAACAATTCAATATCCCAGAGAGGTGACCTATCAGGCGTTGTAGTACGGTTCAAGTATAGTTAAGTCACACAATTCGTTTAAAAAAATGAATTCAAAATGTTACTAGAGTATAAACATTACAGTAGAGGGTGATGCCATTGGAATCAGCATACCCAAATTATGTAAAAATGGTAGGTCTCGTCTCCATCACATTTGTAAAGTTTAAAAATGACGCACAGTGCTATAACACTTCTAAATTCTAACATTAATGAAAAAAAGACGTTTTTTTAATATTCCAAGAATTATTGTGTCAGATGTAAAGAATAAAAGGAAAAACATCATTTAAAAAAAATCGAAATCAAGATCAAAAAAGATATAAAATAATTGATTATGCGATTTACAAAGACTGATATATACATAAGATTTATTCAAGATGGGTGGGTCCAGATATTAGATATAAGAAACGCGATTAACGTTAATATATTACACATTTATATAAGAGAAACTGTCAAATTAGCGTTCCTGACTACACAAACATTTGAATATATTCTGAGTAGCTTAAATCGTGTACATTTCTTAATTGTCTTGAAAGCACATACGTCTTAAAACTTTTTTGAGTCAATACTCTTAAAATTGGATGCAAGTATAACACCGCCAATGAAAAAAAAAATTGATTTGATTTGCATTTCAGTTAAATACCACGATAAGTAAAAAATTCATTCTCGAATATTCATATGAACCACAAACTATATCTGATACATTTAGTACACATTTATGCCAAAGAATTAAAATTGAATCAAAACTGACTTTGGTCTATAGTGACGAAAACATTTATCTTTAAAGAACACGATAGTTTGTCTAATATTATTTCTTCCGTAATCATAAGAAAAAAAAACTATTAGTTTCTGATCTGCACAATTTTCATGTGACAACGTTTTTACAGTTTTCTGTAAGTTTTCTGATTCTTTTTTTTGCATATTAAAGAACTAAGAATGATGTATTTCCTTTCGTGATGTATCAATGTACATCAATGTACGGTTTTATTTGTCTTTTGATGTTTTTTACAGTCGTTAGTAACGATATATCAAGGGAACCATAGTTCATTTGGTTTCAACTTTTTGAAATTGTCATATTTTACTGAAACTAGAATCATCAGAAGTTCAAAAACGAAACAAATTCCTATTTATAAAAAAGTGACAGAACACACATTTTTACTTTGATTTGTTACGTGTGTTCTTTTCTTTCGATTTTTTTTATTAAATTCTGCAAAATTTATTCGGTTTGATTAACAACATTTGCACAGAGTAAACATAAATTTCAAACGATACACGATATGGAATATAGTCGAATTTGTATATCATTTAATTATTTTTTATAATATTAAAACAGAGTTTGAAATTTATAGGCGTTTCACTTGCGATAACACAAACAAAATGAATATCATTTGATGCCGAAGGTACATCTTGATAAGAACTTATTCAGCATGATATACAATATCTGCAAACCTTGCATTTTGAAAATATTTTTGTTTAATAATACGAAGTTTTTTCCGTATATTTGGTAATTTGAATATACAGAGATATATTTCAGTAACACTGTGTAGATATCATATTTTTAAAGAAATTTTATGTCTTTCGTTGTTTTTATTTACTTTTCTCTTGATTGACTAAAAAGCAAACGAGAAAATGAAAAAAACAAAGCAAGAAAAAACAGAAAATGAAGCAACAGCGATATGAGCTCCACAGCGGGTGTTTGCTTGAAGAATATTGAATTAAAAATGTCACCAAATTTATTATCGTTCCTTAGATACCAATAATTTCAAACGAATAAATTCCGACAATTTCGATGTAAAGTTTTTTCTAAAGTTTTATGGTTAGAAATATAATACGTGTATATAATCTCTTGACAACTGTCCGATAAATTTGTTTTTGAGACATACGAATAAAAAAGATTCAGAGAGATTTTAAAAATCATTGTTTTTCTTTTCATCAAAATTTACTATCCATGTATTTTTCATTTTTTAAACACGTCATAAAAAAATCTTGTTCAAATATTTGATTGAGTATGTAAAAAATTAGAGAAAATCGTGCTTTTAATATAAACTACAGGCTATTTTCAATTTGTCACTGACTTAAAAATATAGAATCTGTATTAAATTTGTTGTGATTTTTTCTGTTCCATATAAATTTTTAACATTAAATCCAGTTTTTTCACATTTTCATATTACTTCACAATCAAAAAATTAAACAACATGTTGATCACTTTTTTACAACGTTTGGTTAGTTTAAATAGTGAATAATATGATACAAACCGAAATGAGTGCTTCCTATTGAAGTGAACAAAGCGATAGTCACATTCAAACTAAAATCGTCAGGTCGCCACTTCATGTAAAGAGCCTCTTTATAAAATTATTCCATTCTACAGTCCTTCGTTAAGCGCCGTAGTATTGTTCGTTTTATTTAAAGCCTGTGTTCGGATTGGATACGTTCTACTGATGTTCGTTTGTATTGAACCAACTTGCATTTCTATATAAGCAAACAATACATACATATAGTTTGCCCTTTTATCTAAAACGATGAACAATATGTTTGTGTGCATTTGGTTGTCTTTTGTTGTTCAGTATACTTTGTTCTTTTTCATTTGTTTATATTTTCATCACTCTTCTTTTTGTATTTTGTGTTTTTATTTTGCTTAAAACTTGGTTCAATTTTTGATGAAATTTTTCATCGTCCATATCAGTTGAACAAATGTATTTTATGGAAAAGGAATAAGCAAAAACAATGTAGACAACGATTGAGATGTGAGTTGACAGAGTTTTAGCTATAATAAAATAAATTCGTTTTGACATCATGCACAAATTTTTTTCACACGATTTTGAAAACATCCATTGAAAATGAAGGTTTTATAATCAGCCAACCATGAATCTTTAAATCTCAATTATTCTACCAAAGATTATATACGTGCAAAGATACAAAGAAAATTTAGAATAAACCCAACATTAAGTTATTAGTTATTGACTTGGAAATCAAATTATTAAACTTTTATTCGCTACCTCATGCGAAGTTCTTCTCGGAAAGGCAAATTTCTTACCCGCATGGTTGAAGACACACAAACACATAAACGCATAAGTGGAAATATTTCATACTTAATGTTCAATAAGTGTATTGTTTACAACATTTTGGAAAAACAATGAACAGCACGTCCTAAAGATTTGTTTTCTAACTCAGCCTTTGTTATTCCGAGAATTAAAATATGAACCAATTGTAGCATATCATATTTAGAAATAATCATTAAATAAGTTTTCCAAAGAAATTAAAATAAAAAGTTGAAGTAATTTTCTTCTTAAAGAAGAATGCATTGAAGATTTCAAATAGTTTTTTTTTATCATTACTTAATGATGTTGCTGTTACTGTTTTCAGTAAGTAGTTCATAAATTCTACATTAAATGTTGTTACAAAACATTAAAATTATTTTCTCACATATCCATTAATAGTGATGATGTGATGTTCCCATTCTTTAAATTTTAACAGAATAACAAATAGAAAATTAAAAACACAAGTGTGCTCACCATTATTCCATATTTGCATTTAACTAAAAAGCATCGGATGTTTAATTGTCACTATTTACAAATTTTAATCGAACAAAAAATTATTATTTCATTTATGTGAAATTTGCTTTTCATATAAAAACCTTATACAAAGTATTTCTTTATTCTTCTCACATTTCACTACACATATATCATCACTTAATTTGCAAATAACAAACCAACCAAATTTTTTATTAGTTTACAAATAAATATGCAAGTTTTATTACTATTAGCATTTGTGCAAAGCATGCAGATTTTTTGATAAAACAAAAACAACAAGTGTGAGAACAGAATTTTGTTGAATTCTGAAAAAAAAAAACTTTTTAAAAGAATATTAATACATTGTTTTGTCTACGTTCATGATAGTTTTGAGACCAGACATGAAAATCGGGCAAAATATTTTTTTCATTTCTATGGCATATTCTACAGTCAAACGAAATCATTCAACATTTTGGGTCATATATATGAAAATAATATCAAATTTCACTTCATAAAACATTATTGGATTTGTAAAATTAAACTATGAAAAGCATTCTTTTGGGGACCTAATCAAACATACACAACACTACAGCTGCATTATCCAAAGTAATTTTACATTTTTCTTTCAACAAAAATAAACATGCATCTCTTGTTTACACACCGTTTTAAGTAAGAGGCGTATTGTTTTGGCTCCGCCCTAAATATAGCCAGATCCAAGAATTCAATATGCGCACAAACGTATAAATTTGATTCGAAAAGTAAAGGTGGAGTTTCTGTGTTTTAAGCCACATATCATTCACAATAGAAAAAATATTCCTACTAACAAAATTCCTATGATATACATCGGTTTTCAAACTACCTTTAGTTATGAAGAGAATTTATAAATTATTATTATTAATATAGAAAATATTCTATCCTATTTAATATAATGTGAAGATTCCATGTGAATTTGACTTTTAAAATTTAGTTGAGAAGAAATTTGTAATTTTAATTTCCATGCCAAATTCAATAGACAGATACCCAGATAAACAGAAAAAAGAATTCAAAACCTAAAATAAATAAAAAAATGGAACATTTTTTTGTTTCGGTTGTTGATTCTCAAATAAACACATTAATTTACATATAGAAAGATATTTTATTGCTTTGTATTAAGAATGTTTACATATTTCGCTGTTGAAGAATAAAACTTATAATTATTTTATACAAGATACCATAGAGGTGTTTCGAGCATGTAAAAAACGAATGACACTATATACTATGTATTTCCACCTCTATGAATCTTATTTTTGATTTTCCATTCGAATTAATTTGAAGAAGCCAAACCAATTTTCAAGTGTTCCATACACATGTGTTCAATAAATGTGAAAACTCTGAAATAAAATAAACAATATATTGCAGCTTGATAATTATCTCATACTGACCAATGCAAAAATGCTCTTGACGTATGCTTTTTATATTTTTTTTACAATTAATATTATACTTTTAGGTATATTCAAGTTTTTTATTTAGTATTTATAGTAGATTTATATGTTATTTAATATTTATTCAAAATTAAATTTATCACTTCCCAGGATTAAAAATTTCTAATATGTTTGACTTATTTTCAAAAATTAAATGGATAGGTAAAGTTTTTAAGTTTATCACAAAAAAATTATTGAATTATTACCAAAATATTGATATGTGAAATGCTTGCAGTTTAAATAACAATAAACACATCCGTTCTTTGAATATTTCCAATTGAATAATAAAAATCAACAAATGTACGACAAATAAAATTATCTTGGTATTTTCTCACTTGTGGCGTTAATTGGGTCCCAGGGGCTTTGAAATCATGTGGAAGTTGTAAAACCACCCCAATTGTGTCTATATAATGCATTTATTTGAAAAATAAAGTATACTTTAAGTTTAATACAAATTATCATCTATAAATGCATTTGTACAAAAACACTGAAGATATTATCGGTATCATTGATTTTTTCAGTATGCGTATGAGCGTTAGTTCTTTAAACAACACAATTTCAATGTTTGTTAGTGCATAGAGAATATTATGGTTCTCTCAAATATTAGGGTGTGAAGAAGCGAAATGCTCAACGTAATATTATATGCGTATCAAATTTGGTAGTTTATTATGTAAGATTGACGGCGTATGTAACTTGATATCAACATGTACCTATAGCTACGGTATGAACGTTCTAATAATGAACCTATTTTTTGTTGATTGGAAGTTTTTATTTCATTCTATGTTGAGAGAAAATCACATCAGTGCACCTTTCATAACTAAAAGTAAGTATTGCCGAACAAAGGGTCGATAATCAACTTCGCGTAAAGACTTCGTTATGTCAATTATTATGGTTTCAAAAATTACAGTAAACCCTAACAAAATTGATTTTTTCTACTTATATTAATTTAACATTCTCAATAAATGTTTCATCAAGAATTAAAAACTATAAACTTACAAAAAAAATTAATCACAAAATTTCTTCATTAGCCCTCCAGTAATCAATATGAAATTGTGAAACTTATTTTCATTTATGAAGATTTAAAGCTGTAAATATCAACTTCAAATAAGGTGTAAGTTTACTGTAATGTGTTGAAAATCTTAATTGATGTTACTATGCCAACAAATCCAATCTTAATAAATAGGAATAGGATATAAAGGAAGAATTCTCGACCCTTATATTTTTCAGTGTGATGTTCTGTTTGAATTTTGAGATGTTACCAAGTCTTGTAAATGACAAAAACTGTACTTCATGTAATAATACAGTGGAATATCGAAAAAGTTAATCGAAATGTTGGAAGAGGTATTAACTTTCTCGAAATATCAATTTTTCAAAGTTTATTAGTTTAAATAACATTGAGTACATAATACCATTCTTAGTTTTATAAAATCAAAATATTGATAGCATGAGTTTTTCATAGAATCTGACAATACATTTGGATTTTGTCATCTGGATATTTCAGCTCATCTAGATGACGTTAGGCGATTATACGGAGTGAAGACAACACTATAACAATCACTTCTATTGTCATTCCAACGTCATCGAGATGAGGTGAAATATCCCGATGATAAAATCCAAACATATTGTCTGCACTAGACTGGCCCCCAAAACACAAAAGTTGAAATTTGTTCGCTCTTACCTCGGAATACTTTTCCATATGGTGTGCAAATAACGTGTGTAAAGTTTCATGCCGATAGCTCAACGCTAGATGGTGCCGCAAGAGCTCGGTAGGTCATTATGTGAATTCATTGAAAAATGACGTTTTCAGTTAAAATAAAAATA